TTGGGGACACTTGTGTTTCTAGACTATCCTATCTGCATGTCTTATTTTGGCCCAAACTGAGGAAACGGAAGCAAGCTGGGTCTCCTAAACTGTCCTGTTTTCCTCCCTCAGGGACAGTGTCATCATCAGTATCACCAACTGCGCTACCAGTGTCTATGCTGGCTTCGTCATCTTCTCTATCCTAGGCTTCATGGCCAATCACCTGGGTGTGGATGTGTCCCGAGTGGCAGACCATGGCCCTGGGCTAGCTTTTGTAGCTTACCCTGAGGCCCTCACGCTGCTTCCCATCTCCCCACTGTGGTCCCTACTCTTTTTCTTCATGCTCATCTTGCTGGGACTGGGAACTCAGGTATGACACACGTGCGTGCATGCGTATATATGCATGTGTGTGTGTGTGTGTGTGTGTGCACGAGTGTGTAAGTGTGCATGAATCTTGGAAGCTTGGGCAGGAGGAACTGGGGCAGAGGGCAGGTCCCTATCCTGATGGCTGTGCCTGTAGTTCTGCCTCCTAGAGACCCTAGTCACTGCCATTGTGGATGAGGTGGGGAATGAGTGGATTCTGCAGAAAAAGACCTATGTGACCTTGGGAGTGGCAGTAGCTGGCTTCTTGCTGGGCATCCCCCTTACCAGCCAGGTAAGAATGGAGCTGGGGGGGGGGAGGCAAAGCGGGGTTGCCCTTGCCAGGGCACTTGCAGAATGGGTGGGTAGTTTGCTCTGTGGCACCCTGGCTCATCTGTGCGCTGGCTCACAGGCAGGCATCTACTGGCTGCTGCTGATGGACAATTATGCAGCCAGCTTCTCCTTGGTCATCATCTCCTGCATCATGTGTGTGTCCATCATGTACATCTATGGTAAGTGCCCACCTGCCCATGGCCTCTGACTGGCCCCACTCTGTCCTGCTGGGCTGCTGACCTCCGCCCCCATCTCTCCAGGGCACCGAAACTACTTCCAGGACATCCAGATGATGCTGGGGTTTCCACCACCTCTCTTCTTCCAGATCTGTTGGCGCTTCGTCTCTCCAGCTATCATTTTTGTAAGTTCTCGGGGGGTCCTCCCTGCTCCTGCTGCCCCTTGGCTAAGTGTCCTCTCGGGAACCGGGGAGCGAGAGCAGGAAAACAACCACCCAGCCAGAGTCCTGCTTTGGGCATGAGAGGGCGGACAGTCAGACGTGTGCCCACTCAGGGGTGCTAGGCCCTGCCTTCGCTTAGGAAGGGGATATGGAGCCCTTTGACTGACTGAAGCCAGTACTTCAGGGCATAGCCTGACTCCGTGGCATTGCTGCCCAGCTGCCTCTAAGGGGCCTCAGGAGTCGCCGATATTGGTGTGACTTCTGTCTACCTTACTGCTCTTATCCTAGACCCTCATGGAGACCGCTCCCAAGCAGGGAGATAGATGGCAGAGACATGGGAATGTGGCGGCATCCCAGGACCTGTTGGTGCAGGGCTAGGAGTGAGGTCAGCTAAGCCTCCAAGGCTGGGAATTTGCCTGGCTTTGGAGAGAGCATCCTATTTCCAAGCACATTCATCAGAGCGCTACACTGGTAGTTGGGCTCCCTTCCCTCGCCCTGTTCACGTTAACTCCTGCAGTATCTCTTTGGTTGTCATTGCTGTCTCCACCCTACGGCTATGGAAACTGAGGCACAGGGATATTAAGTAGGCCACTGCCACACACTTACTTAATGAGGGCAAGAACCCTGATGCAGACCAAACCATGCTATGGGAGGGCTAAAACTTGACTCATTTTGCTGCTTGTTTGAGGTGAGAGGGGGAGGGGCTGACAGTATCGTAGTCACTATATAAGAGGGTCAGAGTGCCCCCTCAGTCACTGTGTCAGAGGGCTCACTCAGTGGCAAGGCACTGCCCAGAGGTACCTGTGGCCTCCACAATTCCTCGGAATCATGGAGAGCTAGGTATCAGACTTCCACACTGGCTCATGTTTCTGAAAAGAGGCCCCTGGAGGACTGAGGCCTCCACCACATGGGGTGTAGGATGTTCCTGAGCTTGGCACAGGCTACAGTTTTGGCCATAGGCCCAGCTGAAACAGGAGGAGCGGAAGTCTCCTTTCAAGGCTGAGAGGCCAGAGCCGCTAAAGGCACTGCCTAGCACCATGCCCTCCCTCGGTGGGTGTGGCATTGGCCCAGGCCCCACCCCTCCCATTACCTGGGGTCACCTACCAAGGGCCTCTAGGACTAGAGATGGGGTGAAGTCGATAGAACCTGGAGAGCCAGGCTGGAGGTACCTTGGGGACAGGAATTCGGGCTGTGCAGACATATTCATGTTCTCTTTGGGGCTTTATGTGCCCATGAGGCTCTTGGCAAACCTTAGCCTTCCCTGAGTCCAATGAAGGAATTCGTCCCCACGTACATCAAACTGGTCAAGCCAGGTATGGTGGTGCTCGCTCACCTTTAACCCTAGCCCCGGGGAGGCAAGAGGCAGAGGCAGGCTGATACCTGAATTTAAGGCCAGGCTGGTCTACACAGAGAGTTATAAGCTAGCCAGGGTGACAAAGTGAGACCCTGTCTCAAAAATAAACACACACCAGGCTCTGCTGGGTCAGCAAACTTGTACACTCCCAGGAAGGATGCTCTAGGGTCAGTGTGGGCAAGGTCAGAGGGACTTGCATTCCAGGATGCCTAAAAGCTAGGAGGTGTGTTGAGTCCTTCTGCAGGGCCTTTTGGGTGTGGCCTATGAGCCACCTAGCCAAGGCTGTTTCTTTTAGATCCTTTGTTGGCAGCGGCCATGTTCCTCACTTCTTGTCTCACTCACCTCTTCCTGGTCAGTCTACTACCTGACACTCAGCATTTTAGCCTCTGGGCACTCTCTAGGCTGAATGTGGTGGTTACCACAGCCATCGTGAGACAGGACCTGGCCTGGCCTGCTCCTCAACCCCTTCCTCAATGCCCCGCATCTCCTGATACAAATAAGCTCAAATAGACAAGTGAGACAGTGCAGGGCACCTAGATCCTGAGTTAACGCCATCCTAGGCACCCACAGGACTGTGGGAAATAGGAAGTAGGGCAGCTCTGAGGAACGCAGATGGGAAATGCTATGGAGAAGCCTTTTAGGAGGCAGAAAATCCAGAAAGGCTACCTGAAAGAGGTGGCCTGGGCTCAGGGCGTGACAGGAATGCTAAGGTCAGGTCTGCAGAGTGGGCAGAGGAAGTAGGAGATGCTGGGTGTGCTGAGGCAGGGATGCCAGGAGGTGGCCAGCAAGATAACAAGTCCTCTGGCAGAACTGAAGCCTAAGGCCAGGAATTTGTCCTTATCTCAACAGACAGTACAGAGCCGAGAGACAAAGTGGCTGCTTTCCAAAGGTGGTAGCAGCTTACTTGTTCTCTGGCAAAAACGCCTGTTCTCTTTATGGCACCACATGCCCCAACCACTCCGGGGGCCGTGGGTTCCTCCTGCTTCTTTGGCTCAGGTGTTGACAAGTTGCCTACACCCTGACCAGAACTGGAGGGGAAGGGTTACTGCTGGGAGGGGCTCTGTCCACCTCACACCGTTCCCACCTCTCTGTCCCACCTCTATACTCTGCAGTTCATTCTTATCTTCACGGTGATCCAATACCGGCCAATCACCTACAACCACTACCAGTACCCGGGCTGGGCTGTGGCCATTGGTTTCCTCATGGCCTTGTCGTCTGTCATTTGCATTCCCCTGTACGCGCTCTTCCAGCTCTGCCGCACAGATGGGGACACACTTCTTCAGGTGAGTGCAGAGGGCTGGGCAGCCAGGCCAGGTGGAAACACTTCTGAGTCTAAGGGGTCTTCCCTTCTGACTCTCTTTTCGCTACGCCCCCTGCCTGCAGCGTTTGAAAAATGCCACAAAGCCAAGCAGAGACTGGGGCCCTGCCCTCCTGGAGCATCGGACTGGGCGCTATGCCCCCACCACAGCCCCCTCTCCTGAAGATGGGTTTGAGGTCCAGCCACTGCACCCGGACAAGGCCCAGATCCCCATGGTGGGCAGTAATGGCTCCAGCCGCCTCCAGGACTCCCGGATATGAGCACAGTTGTGGCACGGGGAGAGGCCTCACCCAACCCTTGCTCCCACCACAGAGACTGGGGAGGCAGTGGACAGGTGTGACAGGAGACAGCTGCTGTCACCTTGGCCACCACTGCTAGTGCTCATGTCCCCAGTGTTTACACATCCTTTGGATGCCAAGACAGCAGTCGGGGGTGGGAAAGCCATGGGAGGATTGCTGTGGGGGTGGGGGTGCCCAAAGCACTTTGGAAGAGGTCTCAGGCCAGGTCCCCAGCGGCCTGCCAGGCTTCACACGGCCTCTGATACCCTCATACTCCGCCCTGAGCTGTTTGACCAGGGGATACGAGGTTCTGGCTCCATACCCCACTTGTTGCCCTCCAGCCTCATGACCAGTGTTCCTGACCGCAGCCTCTGCCCAGGCAAACCTGCACCTTCTTGCTCGGAACAAGGCAAGGGGCTACAGGCTCACAGTGTTACTTAGACTGTATCACCCAGCCCTGTTTATTTGTGTAATTATTTTTGTAAACATGGTATCATCTGTGGTTGCCACCCCTCGCCCCGGTCCCAGCCTTGGATCCAGTCTGTCTTCCAGGCCTGCCTACACCTCACTTGGCTGCTCCAGGGCCTCTGCCCTTTGTCCCAGCCGTGGTTGTCAGGCCCAGCCAGCCGAGGCTGTGACCCAGCAGCCTGCCCAAAGCACTTATGGAGGGAAAGAGAGGGGACTTCTCAGTAGGAAGTTTGAGCCTGGAGCCCTGGGGAAGGGGACCCTGCACGACATTCCCTTGTCCACCCTCCACCAGGTTGAAGGCCCAGTCTTCCCAGACGTGCTACCCCCATTTAATGTGCCAAATGGCCCCAGTTCACATGCCCGTCCCCCCTCTGCAGTCAGAGCTCCTCTCCCGATCCCTGCGGTGTCCATTTGTCCATCCTGTGCTCTCTGCAGTGACAGCCCTGGCCAAGCCACCTCTAATCCTCTGTAGCAATAACGGTGTGCTGCCCGCCACTGTCCGTTGTGCACCACTAGGGTTTTAAAGTCCATAGATTTTAATGAAATTTCTATTCCTGTCTCTGAGCTGCTGCTGTGCTTTGTCTGGGTCCCTTGGGGACAAAAAGTCAGGCTGGGATGGGACCTCTGTTTGCCAAGCCTCTGTGGAGGCCTGCGTAGAGGAGAAGGGCCAAAGGCTTTGATGGTTAGAACAGGTGTCCTGCCACTCGGTCTTAGATACTAGTGACCTGGGAAGGGGCGGGGCTGGGACCAGATTAACACACAGCTCTGCAGAAGCTGGTAGAGCTATGGCAGCTGGAGGGAACAGCAGATGGGCGAGTTACAGCAGAAGCCTGTTTTGTGGCCAGCCCTTCAGGTTGGAGCCTGGGATGCCATACTGGACACTGATGTGGAAGCTGGCTCTTCCCAATAGCTGTACCGAAGCTGCCGCCCTCTCCAGCGGTGGGTGACTGCCTGACCTTGAGGGTGGGGGCAGCGCTCCGAAGGAGGTGTAGGCATATAGCCATGGAGACAAGGAAAGGGTCTGAAGCCTGGAATGGACCTCAAGGGCTTCTGCCTGCATGGGATAGGCAGCTGTGAGATGCCCATGACCTGACCCTTCACACTCCCCCGCCCGCCCTGTGTTTGGGTGTACCTGTGCTTGGCAGAGACACTGGAAGGCCCCACAGAGACCTGTAGCTCCTGTTCCATGGCCTTCTTCTGTTCCTTTATCTCTGAGGAAGGGCACAGCTGAGACAGTGCCTGGCTTTTCCAGAGAACGTACAGTATGGGGAAAGGTAGGGGACAGGGTATTCTAGGTATGCTTGGGATCCTTACCTGCCAGGGTGGGCTCTAGGGTGGCCTTGGAGTGCTGGCAAGCCTGCATCTGCTCTGTTTCCAGACAGTGCTGTGGAGAAAGCTGGTTCAGGGACCCCGCCTAAAGGTAGGGCTCAGGGGCAAGACCATGCAGCCTTGCAGTCTGACCCTCATGAGTGCATAGCCCGTGGAGAAGGCCACGCTTAGCAAGATAGTAGCCACACATCCAGTCCCTTAAGGAGAGAGGAGGCAAGAGACCCCAGGCTGTCCAGTGGGCTAGTCTAAAACTGCTGCCCCTGGCCTCTGAAACATGAGAAACAGGTGTGGACTCACACACCTTGACATACACATAGGTCCGCAAACACACAGGTGTGATCCCTGCTAAACAGAGAACCTGGGGAAGGCTCAGGGCTGCGCTCACCTGCAGGTCAGAGATCTCTTTCTGCAGCAGGTGACACTCCTCCTCCAGGAGGCTCCTAGACAGGAGCATGAACAGCCAGAACCAGTGAGCAGGACCTCCCAATAGCACCCATCACATGGTCCCAACCTCCAGAGCTACCAGGAGCCACATTGTTCTGTGGGCACTGCCTGGCCATAGCCTTCCAGTGCCCACCATTTCCAGTCACCTCACTATCTGCACCCCCGTGGGCACCATCCTCTTCTGTACCCTGGCACTGAGCCTCTGGCTCATCCTGCTTCCATTAGCCCCACACCACAGCCTTCTTGTGCTTAGGGCCCTGGCACACAAACACACACACTCAGTCTACCTACCTGCACACTCTCTTCCAGGCAGTCCCAACCCCTTAAGGCCCACCCCTGTTTTCTTGCCCCCAATCTACATGCACTCAAGTGCCCCTAGGCCTCACCTCAGGTGTCTGACAACCTGGTCAATGTTAGACACATTCAGTTGGTCCTTGATGACACTGAGGTCCCTGGGACAGCTGCTGACAGGTGAAGTTAACATCACCCCCTCCGTGTGGCTCATTCTAGTCCTTTAGGGAATAAATGCCACTTCTAGATCATTTTGTTTTCCTTGTACAGGCAACATAATAGAGTACAAACAATAGTTTCAGAGCCTTGGCTTCCACATGGGTTCTGCCACCTTCACCCTGAGACCTCAGGGAAATTGTTTATCTTTCTGAGCTTTCTTTTTTCATCTAAAAACTGGGGACAATGCTCAGCTTATAGGATTGTAGGGGGATTTAAACAAGAACTTGGAGCCAGGCGATGATGGTGCATGCCTTTAGTCCCAGCACTCTGGAGGCAGAGACAGGTGGATCTCTGTGAGTTTGAGGCCAGCCTGGTCTACAAAGCAAGTTCCAGGACAGGCTCCAAAGCTACAGAGAAACTTTGTGTGGGGGGAAAAAGTGTCCAGCCCCAGAATGAGAACTCTTCCACAGATCTGACTGACCAATTGGCTGGACCTTCTGCCTGGCAGGGGCAGAGCCTCCCTCTTTACCATCACTTTACCTGGGCTCAGCGGCTCTCATCCGGGATACTTCCTGTTGTGTTGAGTCACACCCAGGCTCCTCCAAGGCAAAGCGAAGGACCCTGGGACTATACTGGGCCCACACCTGAGTCTGGTCCCTGAAAACGTGTGCATGAAGGGACCTCCTTTCAGGAAACCACAGGAAAAGGCCACACTGGCTCTTTGTCAGGGGCAGCCCATCTGATGTCCGGGCAAGGTGGCCAGGCCAGAGACTCCCACCTGCCCTCAGAGACAGCCTTAAGGCGGAGGCCTTGAAGCAACTGTCGGAGTTCTTGGCGCATGATATCCCTCAGGAGGGGTGGTGGTGCAAGAAGGGAGGGAGAGTCAGACATGGGGTGGGATCCCGAGGCTTGAGAAGACCGAGACTCTTGGAGCAGTGCCTTTAGCATCGCCACCTGCAAGGAGAGCTGGGGCACCTTGCCACTGGGGCAGAGGGGATGGGTGTGTGTTGGGGGGATTGCTAGGGATGGGGGAGTCAAACGGGAGAGAAAGGGCAGCCAGTGAAAACAAGGTGCTAGGGGGTCACCAAATAGGGCTAGGGACCTGGTGGAGGCAGGAAATCACGTGAACTGTTGGGCAGGCCTGGAATGTGACCCACCCCCATCCACCGGACTCCCACCTCCTCTCGCAACTCCAGGCTCAGGTCCACCGCTGCCTCCCCCAGAATCCTCTTCACTTCAGGCCGCTCCGGGAGTGGAACATGCTCCTCCACCAGCTCCCACAGGGCTGGGGAGTCTCGGGACATGGCCTGAGTACGTCGCGGCCCCCTGGTCAGACCTATGAGACGGACCGACCGCAGGTCAAGAGTGCTAGATTTCCTGGGAGACCGCTGGTTGCTCCGGGCCAGAGCCACGCCCACAGAGCCCCTCCCACTGACATCGAGGCCCCGTCTTGTTCTGCCTATATCCCCACACTGGAATTGCTTGGCCTACTTCGGGCCGACCCTCCTGGGTCCGAGATCCTGATCACCTCTGGGGAAAACCAGGCTGTGGCAGCCAGGCCTTAGCCCCTTTCCTCCCAAGAGGCGGTCACCTGGGAAACCACCGAGCCCCAGGATCGCCCTCGAGTGAGGCCCCGCCCTACCCACGGTAACAGAGCCACATGCTAGTCAGCTAGCGCTTGAGCTTACCCCTGGACATCTTTCTACCTCGGAGGAAGTAGAACTGAGAAATTAGGTCCCGCTGGGTTCGTTATTTTCTTACTCCTACAAGCCTGAAGGCAGCATCAAGATAAACTTTCTCCCTAGAATAGTGGCTTGGACGTTTATTAAGTCCCAAGATGGCCCTGGACAGGTCACCTCCCACAACACAAACTGGCTTCCGGGAACCAGATTCCATTCGCAAACAGACATGGAGCTTCTCCATTAACGTTTTTTACTAAAGCACCCACACAAGTTTCTGTGCAACATATAAACATGAGCAGGCCCTGGGGCTTCTGCCTCCTCACCAAGGGAGGGAGGCCAGAACCATTGACTGATCCAAGCCCCACCTGTCCCCCATGCAAAGGCCAATCCCATGATCCCAGGAAACACAGCACCCCTTCTGGTCCCCTCCTGGGGGCACTCCTCAGTAGGTGGCTTACCAAAGCTTGCCCCCTACAATGTTGAATGAAAAAGGTTTCCCCTCCCCCGGAAGCATGAGGGATCTCCAGATCTGAGAATTCCCCCAGGAAGAGACACTGCCCCCTAGTCAAACCTCCCACCTTTCTAGGCCCTAGGGGACTCAAGGGAGTGGGAAACTGAGGCACGGAGAGGTGGAGTGACCTAGCCCAGGCCACTCTGCGAGGCAGTGCAGGGGCTGGCCCAACCCTAACAGTGAGGAGGTTGGGGGTGGGGCGAGTAGGGCAGGAAGGATTGACCTCAGAGAGGGCCAGAAGAGGGGCTTGTCCAGAAGCCCCTCAAAGTGGGTTCTGAACTTCGAGGTCCAGCCGGCTGTCTATTAAGACCCTCAGAAAACAGCTCTCAGTCTCAGTCTTGGGGACGCCCCCAGAGCTGCTGTCAGCCAGGCTGTGGGTCAGTCTTCTGGCAGGCGACCCTCCACATCAGAAGGGCATGGAGGGCCTTTGTCCATTAGTCAGCCTTGATTGAGCCATGACATGGGTCGCCCAATGTCCACTGTGATGTTGGTGAAGAGTGGTTGCCGAGACACTTCCAAGACGCGGTACCGCACTGATCCAATGCCGTCCCACTTCATGCTCATCTTTGTGTTCTGAATCTTACTAAACCTAGGAAGGGAGATGAGTTCAATCAAGGCTAACAGTCTCTGCTCAATCTTCAATCTCTGGGGCCACGGCTCAGGCCATTCTCTCCCTTGAGGGACAACTTGACAGAAGGCCACTGCTCTGACATCTGCTCTCCAAATGAAGACCTCACTCCCTTTGGTTGGAAAGCGGAACTACAACATTCTCACAGGTCTCTATTCAGACCTTGACCATATATATGTTTATTATTATGGAGCATGTGTGTGGAGGGAACTTGGGCCTTTCCTTCCCCCTTTACATGGTTCTGGGGACTCCAGATTACCCAGGAAGCACCTTTCCTCGCTGAGTTATCTTGCTGGCTTGACTGTAATATCTGAGGCATCCCCATGCACCTCCGCTGCAGTACACATCCCATGTGCGACAGGTCATCTTTACTCTCCTAACCCCTGCCGTCTGCTGTCTCTCTTCCACATTCCACCAGCCGCTCCTTCCACACCCGCTCCTCCACGCAAGATTGCACTCTGAGCGCCAGGGACACAGGCATGGACGGGACATGCAAGGGCCTTCCGCTCACAGCAGGTTTGCTTCACTAAGGGAGGCAGACATTGGGCGAAGGAAACAGCAGAGAGCTGAGGATACAAGGTGACTCTCTTGGGAGAAGTATGTGACACTAAAGCTGAAGGCAAGGGAGGGGGAAGAGCATTTTACGCAGAGGCCAGAGCACATGACAAAGAGAAAATGGCTTAGGCCTAGCTTGTCGGTTAGAGCGTGTATGGACAGGACTCTAAGTCATAATAAGCACTTCATATCCTGTGGCAAGAAGACACCAAGGGATTCTTAACCCAGTTTTGGGGAGAAAGGTGGGATGGACTATGGGAAGGTAAAGAGGCAGGAAAAACCTTTGCAGTCGTCAGAGCAGGATCACAGTGACCAGACTACAGTAAACGTGGAGGAGTAAAGCAGACGGACTCAAGGGCTTTGGGGGTGGCACTGACACGCTCTGCTGAGGATCTGAGCATGTAGGGTGGGGAAGGAATCCTGGAGCACTCCTGAGTTTCAGAGCCGCCACTCACTCAGACTTCCTTAGTGCAGAAATTTCATGTTGTCTGGCCCCAGCCATACCTAAGCAGGCATCACTAAATGATGACCAGCTAATTCTGCAACGAGACCAAAGCTGCTGGCATTTATCTGCCTGTCATCCCTTCTCTGCTGACCATGGTTCCATCTGAACCACACGCTTTTCTATTGGCTCCCTGGACTCCTTGGCGGGGGCGGGGGGGGGGGGCTTCTGCCAAATTCCAGCCCCAAGTCAGTCCATAATCCTATAGTCTTGAGTTTAGAGCAAAAAAGTCGGGGGATACAGAAGTCCCAATGGTCCTTCCCCTGCCATGTCCCCTCTAGTTTTATGAATTCCTTTCATGAATTCAGGCCTGATCAATTCTCCCTAGGTCTACCCCAACAGCTAGGCCATTCCTTCACCTTCCTTGAACTCAAAAAATAAGCCTTCCAAATAAATTCAGTGGTGTCTCTCCCTGTTCAGGAACTTTCTAGGACTCTCAGAGCCCCCTGGGAAAGAAGTTAAACCTCTCCGGGTACCCAGCTACACAGCACCGATGCCCCTACTGTGGCTGCCGCCTTCGCCGTGTAACAACCAAATGGCTTTAAGGTTTCGGTATATGCCACACATGCTCACATGCAACTCTTACAAAGACAAGTCCCTACACCCACTCCGGCCTTCTCCATCAGCCAGGCAAACAGCGCGGGTGAATATATGCCCAAGGGAATGCGAAACAGATTTCAGTGAATGAGGACCTTTTCAAGCCCCACTTAAGAGTTCCACCACCTCACGCCTTTCCCTGGCTTCCGTGACCTATGGCTTAACTTGCCTAGCGTGACCCTCATAAGGGAGAGTAGGACAGGGGCTAGACGTGACTCTAGAAGGCCTGGCTTCCAGAGATTGTCTGGAAGCTCAAGGAGTCTTGGCCTGTATTTCACATGCCTGTCAGACCTTTCCTTGTCAGTCACGAACATCTAATGTGGGTATTTCAATCCCAGCAGGAGTCGGCTGCTGTGAGTGGTTGACACTATCTCAACTCTCCCTCTTCTCGACTTATGTACCTTTGTTGGGTTCCTAGGGTCTATGGCCAGCACCCACCACCTGTCATCTTATCTGCTCTGACAGGGCCGGTATAAGCAGGGTCATTCAAGGTACCTAAGTGAGCTATTTGAGGGCGCTAATGGAAATACAGTCTATGTAATGACAACCAAAGCTGGAATTTAACTTCTAGTCACCTCCAGGAACCAATCCAGGAGGGCCAGGAGTCACCTTTAGAGGTCAAAGGTCAGGAGCATTAGGGTCATCTCTAGGGATCAGTTGCCTCTATCAGGCAGGCACTTCTCATGGGCCAAGGATGCTCAGAGCTTCTTCTATGGGGTTAGAGATCAAAGGCATTTGGGATACTGGGAAGTTACCTCTAGGGATCAAGGGATCAGGGGCCCCGGGGTCAGGGGTGCTGGGGTCACCTCTGAGGGTTGGGCTCGTTATGTTTGTCCCGGTCGTGCTTGATCATGCGGTAGCGGCCTATCCGGACATCTGGGCGTGAGATCTTCATCCCAGTCAGGGAGATCCTAGGAGGGGCGACAGGCAGACTGAACAGGCACCAGGAAAGGTAAGGAGCCCGGCCCAGCCTGTGACTCCTCACTCCCTGACCTGGTCTCCTCTGTCCCGTCCCTACTTACCGGTTGAAGATGTCGTCATCCTCACCGCCCCAGCCCCAGTACTCGTTGGGAAAGCCATTGATCCTCAGAAACTGGGCCTTGCTCAGGCCCGACACACCTCCAAAGTAGCTAGCATAGGGCAGCCTATGACATGGGAGAGCAGATGTCAGGGTCACAGGGGAGTCAAGATGCAGGATCACAGACGGTGAGCAGGGAGAACACATAACTAGGACCCAGGGAAGAGCTACATTACATAGAAGGATCTGAACCGGGGCCAGAGGCTAGGAGGACATGAAGCTGGGACTACGGGCCTGGGTGCAAGTGGGGGTGGGTAGGTCTGAGTCTTGCTAAGTAAGTCTCACCGGAAGCCAAATTTGTCCATGGCAATGGCAAAGTGGCGGGGCTGGTCACCACAACGGTACAGATTGCGGTCATCCATAGGGACCAGGTCCACATCACTGAAGATGAAGCAGTCATAGGTAGCATCCTCCTTCAGTGCCTCTAGGAAGCCTACGTTGAGCAGCTTGGCCCGGTTGAAGGTCTCTTCACCATGCTGGTAGGGAGGTGGGTGGATGGACACAGGTCAGCTCTGCGTCTGTGACCAGCAGGTACCTGCCACTCAGTTTCCAGCATGATCCCAGGGACCCACATAATTGTCCCCCACCCTCACAACTGCCTCAGACTCTTAGGCTGATCCCCCATTCAGAGACCTTTTACAGTTTGGCTCCAATGTGGAATTGTCAGATTCAGTGGCCCAACCATATTACAGTCCTCAGGCACCAGAGAACATGGTGGACTTTTCTGTTACGAAGCTCTGGGGTTGGTTAGCACTTCCCCCTATCTAGAATGCCTTGCTTTAGTGGTCAAATTCATGCCTGAAAAGGCTGACTTCTGGTCAGACCTCCAGGCCCCAGTACAATCCCCCTCCTCTCTGGGCTTCGTTTACACTGGTGTCTACAGAACCACTCTGCCGAGTGTTTATCTCATCCATTCATTCAAACACGCCCCATGACTTTCTCCTTTGTGCCAGAGGGCAGTCTACAGATGAGAAGCTCCGGCCTACCTCCCC